TGTTTGAACAGGTAAGCTTTAGATAATCGATCACTCTGTTCCTCTCTGGTCCATTAGAATTATGGTCTCACCTGTTATTGTGGTGTTTTGCAGAATATGATTCTTGGCAAATTTGGAGGACAAGTTGGTGGTGTAAGTACGAAGAAACCCGCAGAGAAGAAACGTAAGCCAGAGGATAGAGTCCTGAAATCAATGGTAGGGAATTTCAAGAGTGGTGTTCTTGATGTTAGGCATTTGCTACATTCTGGTTCTTCGAGAATTAATGACAGAGATAAGAAGATTCCCAATTACGGTAAGATTAAGCTTGGAGGAGAAATTGGAGGAGGAGGAGGCAAAAAGAGTAAAGGACAGAAGAAAAGAGGCAAAAAGAATAAAGGAAAGAAGAAAGGAGGCGGTAAGAGGAAAGGCAAGTAACCGCGGTAGCTGTTTAACAAGTTTTTGCTAGAAAGAGCCGCTTACTTTCAAAAGGTGTTGAAGCGATTCAAGCATCTCGACATACAACGTTTAATCTCGGTAATGGCGTTATAGTGAAATTATCTATGAATCTTGTCAAAATTTTGTGATCTTTTAGGATGAGTGCAGTTACAGCTATTGAATTGGTTTTGATTGACAAGTGAGAAATGTAAGATGTATCCTATCTTTTATATGTTGAAAACATTATACGTACTTGAATTACCTATCATCCTACATTCCTACTAATTTGCTTTCTTGATTTCTCAATTCTCCAAACTAAAAAGAGTACTTAAAGTTTCTTAACAATATAATTTAGTTATATTTTAAATTTTTAATTAAAAAATTAAATTATGAACCACTTAGAATAAGACACATGTCTTTAGAGTTTCTAGTGAGTTTTTTTTAACAAAAACTTCTTCACTAAATTTCTCCAACTTTTTCAATTTTTTGTTTATTTTAATGGTAAGATACCCAATAAGAAACCTCCATTGAGGATGCTCTTAGACCAAAGAGGAAAGCGAGAAAATCACATTCGATTTATAAATTTGTTTTCTTTCATTTGTAATATTTTTTCATGTCAATAACGTCTTTCAATTTCATCTATTTTGGCCGGAAAGGCCATTCGAAACAAAAACAAAATTTTAAATAAAATAACATAATGGATTTGGGATTTTGAGGAAAATGGCGACTACACGTCAATAATGATTATAGATGATTGAAAAATTGAAAGTTGAAAGTCATGGATTATTACTCAACTATTGCTCGATACCGAATCGGATTTTCTTCTATTCTTCTCAATGAATGATGTGATTTTACGTGAATCAGTGCTTTTTGATCATGCCTAAAAATATATTCATGTGATGGATTATTATTACAAATCACTTTTAAATCCTAGCTGGAATTTGGACCCATCAACGCCAAACTTTTCCAATTTTTCCACCTTTGTATTGTGACATTTGTTGAGGCATTAAGCTCTTGTCAATATTCATACATTCCTAATAACTGTTTATGAGTAAACTAGTTAATGACATGTACAGATAAGGTTAAATCATTTTATATACGAGCTTCCCCATTTTTATAGTCACCGGCCACAAAGTTAAAAACAAATGAAAGCGATAAAACATCTACCGGACATAGGAAAGTCAGTAACTTAGATACAGCAAAACCGTGTAATTTCGCGTCCTACCATGAGAATTATGTTTTTTTCATTTTGGAGAGAACAATTTCACTAAACCTTCTGTTTTGTAGAGAATGTTAACCGTTTAACTTTCAAAAATAGTTGTATTATGAGATTAAAGTTTCGTTCGTTCATCTTTAATGGTAGAAGAACTAGCAATTTCAAACTAACTTCTTTTTTTATGATTTGTGGTTTTAATCATTTCTCTTATTTTTTTATGTATTATTTTTCAATTATGTTTTAAGGTCGGATTCTTAGGAATCGAACTCGACTTCTTCAAGTTGTAATCGCATTTTTATTATTAATTAGAATAGGATCCGCGTTAATACGCGGGTAAAAACATTAAAAAATATTAATATCAAAATTTAAACTTTAATTAATAGGCCCGTTTGATTACAAAAATATTTTGAAATCTTAAACATAGATCTCAAACCATTAAAGTTTAATATATTTTAATACTCATGTCATAATTCATATTATGGAGGCCAAAAAATATATATATACAAATGGAATTCAAATCATATTTTTAATAACAAAAACAAATAATCTTACACATTATGGAT